TTGCAAAGTGGGGGTAGAGAGAGAAAACAGCGTGGGACAAAAAAGAAAGTGTCCTAAGAATGGGATTATTTCAAGCTAAAGAAAACAACAACTCTGTAATGTTACTGTCTGTCCACCATAAAACGAAACTTATGTCGCCTCGGCAACAGCACGACGGCGCCTTATCAGAAAGCAGCCGGTGTTCGGCCAGTGGTCCACAGACAAGGTAACAGCAACTTTAGCATGTAACAGAAATCATGATTGATTGTTGAGTTGACGGCTAGCCAAAGTAACCTGCAGTCCTCAGCTGAAAATGCGTTTTTGTACCCTCCTTTTTGTTCCGTGAGCTGGTACTTCACAGCCAAGAGTTAACTGGGTGTCGGGAAGCTGCACCGTTTAACCCCCCTGCAGCTCCCTCTGTAGCTCAGACAATCCCTGCTACCTGCGTGTACTAATCCATCCTTTCAACCATATTCTTTCTCTTTATAATAACAAACAACAGCTGTTTCGTGTGCAGGATTGCTCATTTCCCGTTTCACATTCACGTGTGTTTTCTTGATAAAAGTGGTTTGGAAACCAGCGTCGGGTGCCATAGCTGTTGTCAGCTCCTTTAGTGTGTGTGACCCCCCGTCACCGATCATGGCCATTGGCCGACGCTGAAAGTCGTGTAGTCTGCACGAGCCTGAGAATAATATAGCACTCGGGTGATGTTTGTGTTTGTAAAGCAGCTGTCTGGTTGTTGGTCTGATGTTTGCTGTATGACACACTATGAATTGCCGAAAGGACTAATAAATATCTATCAGCTATAAACGTGCACAGCTGATCCCGTTTCTGGGGGGGCAAAAGCCACCGAGCAAAAGTACTTCTTAAACGACGAATCGTTGAAATAATCTATAGAAGCTTCGAATACTAAAATCATCGTTAGCTGCAGCCCTACATAGAACTGTACACTTGGGAAACTAAACAAACACTACACAAATGCATGGCACAACACAGAAGGGCTAACTCCTCAGGTCAAGACTCAGCAATTTACTTACATCTGAATGATAAAGGACACATTTGAGGATTACCAGGTGCACATTTTGGACAGAGAGGATGGAGGGAGGTGTCAATGAAGCCATTTACACCCGGGTTGAGAAGCCATCATTGAACAGAGGAGGGGGTCTACGCCACCACTTATCCCCCACTTACATTCAGCACTTCCTAGGAAACTTAACAGACGTTAACCTTTTGGCCTCAGGTAAAGAAACCAACGATGGTCGTTGAGACTCGTCCACGGTTGGTCCTAACGACCATGACGACTGTCGTTACAACAGCCAGGAGCACTAACAATCCTGGCAAACGACCCCACTGAGGGTAAATGGCTGAGTTTCTCTACCAGTCAGTCAGAACTGAAGAAGTCTCTCGGATGATGGATGAAATGTCTTCTAGTATTTCTTAAACGGGACCTTTTATACTGAATTTTCAGCCCTATATTTTAGTTCTATGACTCCTGTATGGTGGCTTTGCACAATTCAAGGTTCAAAAAAGTATTTTCTATCTTATACTGCCTCTTCAGGCAGGCCCTCATTTCAGCATCTGTCTGAAACAAGCAGTAGAGGCTTCTGTTTCATTGAGACCCCACCCCCCCAGAGCCCACTGTCTTCTGATTGGCCATTGTCTAATGTGTTTACCAGGTTGCTGCAGGGATGGGCTGCATGTTCCTTTGTGGCCAGCATTCTCTGCCTGGAGGAAATGACTACATATGGAAATCCGGCTCGGAATGACAATGTACCGAGCCATTAGTAGAAAACACAGAGCATTCAGAACAGGGGGATATATGAAGTTTTCTTTACTCTTGCCTCATCATTTGAAACTTTGGTCACATTTAATATGAACATCTGACATTGTAACATTATAGAAATGCTAGAAAATATGAAAGAACATAATAGGTCCCCTTTAAGTCCAGTTGCCCTTGACTTTATTTGTTTATTCGTTTATTCGGATCCCCATTAGCTGCCACTACTCTTCCTGGGGTCCACATACAACAAACATACAAAAAGTACATCAAATACAACAAACATATAACATACGACACACAAGTTACACATGAATCTAAAAACGATACCTACAATTCTAATAAAGAGTATCATCTGTGTACATGATTACGCAAGCTACTGACAAAGGAAAAAGCAACACAACACACAGACACAATTATACACCAATCCATTCACCTAAGCTCATCAATGTTTGAGTTATTATTCAAGTGTTTTTTTAATAGGCTTTTAAATCCAGCCTTACTGGGTGCTTCAGCAATACAAATTGGTAAGTAATTCCACATTTTGATAGCTCTAAACATTACATATCTGCACACAGCATCAGTTCAAAACTAGACAATACTTTGTTGCATGCCGAGTACTATAAATATGTTGGTTTCTCACATACTTTATTTGTGAGTACAGACAATTCAGTAGTTTCCTATAAAATATTCCTAAAGAAATTCATATGGTTGCATGCCAAACTCTCTTCCACTCTAAGCCATGAGAGACTGGTATGCACACTGTCCGTACTCGGCCTCACACCCGATGGACAGGCCACTGCGAGTCTTGCAACTTTATTTTGAGCTATTTGTAGCTTAAACAGATATTTTTTGGCTGCACCTGACCAGACAGGTAACAGTAATCAAGGTGGGATAAAACTAATGCCTGTGTCACCAGCACTCTAATGGCAGGGGTAAGAAAAGGGCAACATCTTCTAATACTTGATATTCAATTACCCACTTTCTTAAACAATATTGTCAATATATTTCTCCCAAGTTAACTGTCCATCCAGTGGAACACCAAGCAAATTTACCTCTTGAATCTGTTCAATGTTTGAGGCTGTAAGTGATAGGCAAAGCTGATTATCACCATTAGTGGCATGTCTAGAGCTGAACAAGATACTTTTGGTTTTTGTTACATTTAAGACAAGTCTGTTTTCACAAATCCAGTTCACTACAAGTTGTAATTCCAATTGAAATGTATTACTTAGTTCGCTTATAATAGTTGATGCAAAATGAATAGTTGTATCATCCGCAAATAAAGTAGCAGTACAGTTATTCAAAACATATGGCAAATCATTAATAAATATAGAGAAGAGTAACGGCCCAAGGCAACTCCCCTGTGGCACTCCACACTGTAAAGTTATAGGAAAGGAAAAACTACCATTAAAAAACACATACTGCTTCCTATTTAATAAATAGCTATTCATCTAATTGATAGCTAATGGACTAAACCCATATGTAGCCAGCTTTTATAATAATAACCCATGGTCTACAATATCAAATGCAGCGCTAAAGTCGAGTAACACAGTTCCAACCATGATCTTATTATCAATACAAGTCAACCATTTATCTGTCATGTCTGTCAGAGCTGTGCACGTAGAATGATCAGCCTTATATGCATGCTGACAATGAGAATTTAAGTCATTAAGTAAAAAATTATGTAGTATCTGTTCAAGAACAACTTTTTCCATTAGCTTACTCAACACCGGAAGAATACTGATGCTGTTAGCAGCTGAGAAACTCTCCTGTTTGTTCTTCTGAAGCGGTAAAACCATTGCAGATTTCCAAACCTGGGGGATTAACCCCTCCTTTAAACTCAAATTAAAAATATGACATATTGCCAATTATATAATATTTGAAACAAAATTAATTAACCGCCCATGTAGAGTATCCATACCAGCTGGTTTATAATTATTTAGGTTTTCAAGTAGTTTTTCCACCCTGTCAACTTCTATAGGTTGAAACTCAAAAAAGTACGATTTATTATTCATGATAGAGTTGGTTATTATTCAAGATGATATACAACTCCCACTAGGGGAGCACATTTCATTCCTTAACTTATCAACTTTATCTGCAAAGTGGTTACTTAAATGATTAGCGATGTCATTTGCTTTTGTCAAGAAAGCTCCATTCACTTCAATGAAGGAAGGATTGTTGTTCTTGCCTCTGCCCATTATTTCATTTAAAGTTTTCCAAAGTTTGTTACCATCATTTTTCCTCTCCTGAATTTTATTTTGATAATATACTTTTTTCTTTTTCCTATTTAACTTTGTAACCTTATTCCTCCTTTCACAGTACTTTTGAGTCAAGTGCAGCTTTTTTCAGCTCATCTCTTTTACACATACACTCCCTTAATTCTTCTTATAGAGTACTTTAGGTCCAGCTTTGGGAGTTTGAGTTCTTCTAACAATGGCCACAATATTATGATCACTGAACCCTACAGGAACAGATACTGCTTTAGAGCATATTTCACAATTATTTGTTAATATATGATCAATACAGGTTGCAGATGTTTGCCCATCATAACTACCGTAAACTCTTGTTGACTTTTTCACCATCTGAGTTAGATTACATATGAGAGGAGCAACCTTTTCCTCAGTGGACATGAATCCAACAGCCGATTTACATTGAAATCACCCAGAACAAAAGTTTCTTTACCAGTATAAGTTACCTTAATAGGACAGAACATAATTCATCTACATATTGCACATTTGCATTTGGGGGTCGATGGACAAAGCCAACTAAAATCGGTTTACAATAAGCAAGATGAACCTCCAACCAAAGCGCTTCAATACTAGGAACCATCAAGTCCGATCTAACCTTAGTGGGAATATGGCTTTATATATTGCTACACCTCCCCCAAAAATATTCCTGTCATTTTTAAAAATGTTATACCCTGGTATAGCTACCCCCATGTCTGTTATTGATTGATCTAAATGTGTCTCAGAGACAGCAAGTACATTGATATTTTCACTCTTAATTAAAGTAGATAATTCATGAACTTTGTTTCTTAAACTCCTAACATTTATATGAGCTATTCTCAAACCTTTTTTTGGTAAGTTCAGTGCCATGCCTTTACCCAGTTAATACTAACCCATGACATCACACAGTTAAAAACATTGACTGGGACCTTCTCTCCTCTCTCCTTCTCCCTCTTTAACCTTCTTTGGATATTGTCTTCTAAAGTTACATAATTTATTCTTTATTCAGATTGAGGGGCTGCAGTTTGTCAGAGATCAGCTGTGCTTCTCTGGCCTCAGCTCTGAAGTCCAACCCCACCCATGTGAGAGAGCTGGAGCTGAGTGACAACAAGTTGCTGGATTCAGGAGTGAAGCTGCTGTGTGATTTCCTGGAGAGTCTACACTGTAAACTGGAGATTCTGAGGTCAGACACCATTTTTTACTTCTGTGCTGAGATTAATTTGAAGTTTGAAGTTGTGGTGACAATAAACTACAGACACACATATCATACTGATTGTTACAAACTTGGCGCTGGCTTGTAACAAAACTGACCCCACCAGGGCTTGACATTAACTTTTTTGCTCACTAGCCAATGTGGCTAGTAGTTTTCCAAAGTCACTAGGCACGCAGCCACATTTTTTTTGTTGGAAAATTCTGGTTTTATGATTAAAGCTGACCATGGCGTACTTAAAGTGGCGTGCTAAAAAATACCAATATTATCATTAGTTCTGATAGAACATATAGTCTATTAAGATAAACACATAGAAGAGTAGCTTCTCATTGTATATACTAAAAGTGCTGCATGGGTGTAAAAGGTCAATTGAAAAGCTAAAAACTAAACTGAAAAAAAATTGCTGTAAATACTGTAATACAGAGTATAAAAATGATCTGCATTAGAAACAAAGAGCAAAGAATAAATCCACAATCAAGGCAACAGGATAAAAATTTTCTGTAGGCTTATATCAGTTTTGAGCACTTTGGATTGTTTGTTTGCATCTGCCTGGATTTATGTTTCTCATCATGAAGCTCTGGTCGCTCTGAGTAATTGGAGATACGTCGATCTGAAACCAGTATACAGGTCTTTATTTTCCAGATTATTCCCATACAAACGCATCTCCTGCTTTCCTACATGGCATGATTACTTTTATTAAAAAACAGAATTAACTCTGGAAAGGTAGCTGTGATATTACAATATGATGTAACATAAGGGCTGCCATGCTAGTAGTAACACCATGTCCCTAAATCATGAAGATATCTGTAATTTTACAGAATTAAACGGCCCTTTCCTCAACTCTGCCTTTCCTCTTTCTCACGTTCTCCTGTGCATTTTTTTCTCCACAATGCTTGGCCACGCAGTAAAGCGTTACTCAGTAATGCAGTACTGTAATAATATTACTTTTCCCAGTAACTAGTAGTGTAACTAATTACTTTTCTAAAACAGTAATATTATAACAGTTACTAAGGTAAGTAATTCTGCGTTATGCTGGATACACACCAAAAGATAATCGGGCTGATTTTGGGCCGATTTCCCCCTTTCCGACAATCCTAGCTATTCCCAGATTTTCTTGATGGTTCTTCAGATTATTTTATCAGATTCTCCCTTGGTGTGAGGTGTGTTAAGAGTGTCCGAACCTGAACGGAAGAACGTCGGAGGCGCCTCGATCGGGCAAAATCCTAATGTGTGGGGGGGATCGCCGAGGACAAATGCGCGCACGTTCTGGAGATTATCACATGAAACGAAACAATGTCCAATCAGAAAGCGAGATGATTGAAGACGGAAGCATAAGAAACACAGTCATGGCGCAGCACAAGGTGAAATTAATGTGGACAGCAGAGATGGAGGATCAGCTTATAGATTTGCAGCACGCATGTTTGTTCAACGTCGCAATTTCTTCCTGCATATCGTCCACCATGCTTATTCTGAAGTCTCGCGAGATTTTGCAACAAATAAGATTCTAAATTATTATTGTTTTATTCTTGTTGTTACTATTGTTATTAAAAACATGGAAAAAAACATAAGTAAATGACAAACAACATATGAATTACTTTCCCAGGTAACAAAAAAGCCATGTGAAAAGTAATTATATATAATTAATAAGTGAATGTTCCTCCCAGAATCTGTCTGTGAAGCCAGAGACTGGTTTCTTGGAGGGGGGCACTTAAATAGTGGGGGGTATGAGGGTCCTCCCCCAGAAGATTTTGAGTATTAAACAGTTAATTTCCTGCATTCTGGGGAAAATGTCTGCTAGATAAGCGTTTGACGATGGATGGATGGATAATGCAGTGAGGCTCTCATTATTCTTTATTGCTTTTAAATATTTTTCTCCTGTAGATCAACTTATTTAATATCAACCCTGCTGAGTCAACATACATGATTGAGTCTTCCCTCCTCTTTTGTGTCTTTTGTGGAGAAGTAACCTATTTAAATGTGGCCCCTTTTCATCTCAGTGATAAATTCATCCGTTTTAACTCAGTTATGGACTGGACTTTATTAGCTCATCTGTTAATAACTTATCATATCATAACTCACTGTTTCCTACAGAATGAGAGTGTAACTGTGGCGCACGGGGGCGTCCAGTCGATATTGACTACAAGGTATACACAGCGTGTTAGCCTCAAAAACCCAGCTGTATTCTAACTAACGTCATTAGCCTATTTAAAGAGAATCTATAATATTTTACTACATGCCCATGTTCGACAGCAAAATATCCCTCTTGTACATGTGTAACCACTGCGATAACAAGATATTCACGGTGTGTTCCTCAAAGAAAAAAAAACTTTTCCACGGTAATACCAAGAAAGAAAGCGTCAGTTTTCCAGAGTTTACACAGTTGACGCCATGTGGGTAAAATTTTACAGATGATACTTTAACTTCCCGTGAAGACAGCACAGAGCTGCACCACAAGTAGCTGACGGAGACAAAATACACTTTCTCGTCCAGTCGCAGTGGACTAAACTGGCAGGTTTAAATGTTGCAGACCTCAGTTTCTTTGCAAGTAGTTGAAAGTTTAAACTTGTATTGTTGTGAATCTTTGGTGTGAACTCGCCTTAGAGTTTCCAACTAACAAAGGCCACCCAAAAGCAGCTCAGCGCCCCACTTTCCAAAATATTGTTTCCAGCGCCCCCCATCGTCCTCGGAACACCCCGTCATCGCTGCTGATGGTTAAGATGATAATTAATGGCAGGCCAAAACAAACCTCAGGCCACCACGGCCAGTCCGTGAGTTTAATCTCCTCAGCGTCTTGTTGTTTACAGTGTTGTCGGTCAAGATAGGCTTCGTGAATTGATCAATGAGCAACCAATATATGCAGGTAGTACTCATGGGAGTTGTAGTGTCAAATTGCAATTCGTTTGTTATTTCAGATGGCTTTTGAAAAGACTTTCAACACGCCAAAGTGGCTAGTGGGTGTGACTTTGTTTCCCGCCACGGCTGAAATTCACCCGGCGTTTTTTTTTTTGGCAGGTGTTAATGTCAAGCCCTGGACCCCACACACACAGAAGTTCCAAAAGCTAAATGTATTTAATTAATAATAAAAGAATGTGCACGTGTAGCGTGTCGAGGTGTGAGGCAGCGTTGCAGATTCTGGAGTTCTGCCGGTGCGGCTTTGCCACGTGCTTTGGACTGTGCACGAAGTTGTTGATCATCACTTCCTGTGTCCCCTTTGTGGCGCTACATAGCACTTGGCGCTATGACTATAACTGAATATTGGCATGTAGTTGTGTTCGGGGCGGGACTGTTATCAAGCACGTAAAGTTTTGTGCAGATGTTAGCATGTACACTGAAGTTACAACAACTTCCTGTTCCATGGCAAATCATTAATTTTTCGCCGTTTCACAAAAACTCACAGTTTGTACAACAAAAATCTGAAGTCCGTCAGACTAATTCTGAGGAGTTTGTTAAAGTACGGTGTGTGTAAATCAACCAAAAATCACAATAAAATTCAAAGTGGCTGACTTCCTGTTGGGTTTAGGGCATCACTCCATGAGGCTGACGTGATACATGTGTCAGAAATTTGTCCAGCAGGTGGCGCTATGACTGTGGGTGAATGTCAGCATGTACATGTTTTTATGGCGGGACTCACATGAGATATGTAAAATTTGGTACAAATCTGAGCTTGTACAGTCAAGGTACAACAACTTCCTGTGTCATGGAGAAGCGTGGAACTTCGCCGCAACACCATCGCCACACCCGCCACACCGTTAACTGCAAACTTACATCATGGCCTCATCAATGTATTAAGGGCACACATTTGAAGTCGGTCGGACTAAATCCCTAGGAGGAGTTCATTAAAGTACAAAGTCTGTAAATCGCCAAAAATAACCATTGAATCCAAAATGCCCAACTTCCTGTTGGGTTTAGGCTATTGCTCCAAGAGTTTTTTTTGTACACCTGGACATGATACACGTATCACAGAAATTTCGTACATATAGGTGAAACTTTGTCCGGTGGCTGCTCTGTAGGGGGCGCTAGCGAGCTGTTTTGCCACGCCCTGTGCGAAATCCATAAAATACGGGTGGGGGAATTAGAGCCACTCTACTAACAAACCAAACCAGCAGCTCCTGAGAATAGCAGATAGGGAGAAAATGAAAAAGACAAGGGGGGAGCACAAAACGCACACACAAGGAATTTGCTATAGTGATTAGCTGCTATACATACACATAAGCATAGATTTAAAAATATATAAATATGTTATAAGCAGAAGTTATAAAATAATTAACTAGATAAATAACTAGAAGAAAGAGAAAAACAAGACAATGTGGCTGTTACATGTCCATTACTCCAGATTTGTGTTGTCCAAACATATTAGAGGGGGAGAGGATTTGTATAAATATATAAATATAAAATTGACCAAATATAAAAGAATAATATGGAATGTGTGCAGTATGGCAGTTTGTGCAGTAATATGTAATATATATATATATATATATATTTACATCATATTTAAATGATCTAAGATATATATTATATGTTGTTGATACTTCCTCTGAGTAACAGTTTTCAGTTAAATGTAACTGAAAACATCCTTCTTAGCGGTAGTGATTCTATCTTGAACAGGAAACCACTTATGCTGTATTCCTACTTGTGAACTCAGAGAAAAAATTAAAAAATGTATCCCAACTTCACAAGTAGCAGCCGAATGACGTCACACAACAATGGCAGCTCCCATGGAAGCACACATTGTAAATGGTAAACTATAAAGGAAAAGGCAACATAATGTATTAAATTAAATTAATACAAACTAGTATCAAATAGTAAAACTTATTCTGCATGTAAATTGTAGAAATATTTTGTCAATGTTATTAGGCAGCTGGTTATAATAAATAATCTCTAAAAGTCATATTCTCTACCCAAAATTTATTCAGGAAAATGTTAAAAATACCCAGAAATGTGAAAACATTTGGAACCACGTGCTTTGGACTGTGCACGAAGGTGTTAATCATCACTTCCTGTGTCCCTTTTGTGGCGTGACCCTACAACTTTTGCTGACTTTTGAGGATTACCAACTGATATAGCTAGAATAAAATGGCATAAAGTGCACAGCTGAGGGTTTAACTGTGCACAAACTTGCCAAAGACACATAAGTTTGTCATGGTCAGCCATGTTAATTGTTTGAATTTGGCGTCATGCACCAACATGCAACTGAAACGCTTTGAGGTTGGAAGTCGGATATTTCAACTTCTGACGGGTCTGGAACGCTGCATTAGTTTATCACTGTACTTATCTTCCATGTGTTGTAAATAAAGTGGTTTTTAAAAAAGCCTAGTTTAAGTGCTGTCAGATTCTCTCAGCTCTGCGGTTGTCTTTTCATTGTGAATTCTCCACCACATCTTTCCTTGACCTTTCCTTGTTTTTAACCTGCATCCGGTTGGTTCAGGTGTTTTCTAAACTTCTATTTTCTTAAACCTTCTTCAGCTCTGAACAGATTATTAAACACTGAATGATTTCAAGCAGGAACATTGTCTTCTAAAGTCACTTGATTTATTCTTTATTCAGATTGTGGGGCTGCAGTTTGTCAGAGATCAGCTGTGCTTCTCTGGCCTCAGCTCTGAAGTCCAACCCCTCCCATCTGAGAGAGCTGGAGCTGAGTAAGAACAACCTGCAGGAATCAGATGTGAAGCTGCTGTCGGATCTTGTGGAGAGTCCACACTGTAGACTGGAGACTCTGAGGTCAGTAGAGGGTTGGAGTCAGTCCATGCTGGTTTCAGCAGTACTGTACTAAACAGAATCAAAGCAAAGATCCAGTATTTCCTGTAAACCACCAACCTTCTCAGTGGCTGCTTTCCTTAGTAAAGCTGTTGTTGTTGTCCTCCTGTCTACAGGAAATAAAACTGTTGTACCAGCTGATCTTTAGCTTTGTATGAACATGTAGGACCTTTAACATCATATACATATCTGTCCATGTGTCCTTAGTTTGGTCCAAATGTTTTCATAACAAACAGAGATCACTTACAGCTGATCTCTGTTTGTCCTGTAATATTTCAAAAGTAGATGAAATATTCAAATGTAAGCCTCTGATTTTAACAGCTTTGAGCCCTAACAGCAATAAATCCATCATCACTGCATCACTGACTGACAGCTGACTTCTGCTCTCTGTCTTCTTCTCTCATCAGATGGAAGTGATCTCTTTCAGAGTGATGAGAAAAGTGGTGGTGAGAGAGGATCAGCTCAGTTTCCTGATGATCCAGAGAGGTTGAAGCAGCAGCATCAGCTTAGACCTCTATGGAAATAAATCATCCATCCATCCATCCATCGTCAGCCACTTATCCTGCATACAGGGTCGCAGGGGCTGGAGCTAATCCTAGCTGATGTCGGATGAAAGGCGGGGTACACACTGGACAGGTCGCCAGTCCATCGCAGGGCGTTTGTTTTTCAATGCTTTGTACAATTAATAAACCTCCCCTGTAATTCAAATCTGCATTGCTAATAAGACACTGTGTAGATTTGACCAATCGTGTAGCACAGAAATGATACATGACTACATCTATTGTCAAGGATGTGTACAAATAACTGAATCAGGTATAAACATGCATATTTAGTTCTCATTAGTGACCAGTAATGAAATGTTTAAACACCTTTAAGAAAGTCTGAACAACCCAAAGTGTCAGCGTGTTTTCAGATTGACTGTATTACATAATAAAAGACAACTGAATAAAACTTCACTGGAATCACGTTTTGTTTGCAGAATTAAGGTGAATTAGTCTCCAACGAGCGCACGCTCAGTCTGCTGTTACACAGAAGTAGCAGAATTAAACTTAAAGGCACAATCCATACATTTACTGGAATTGCTACCCAGTTTTAAACTGCAAACAGGATGAGAAGCTGCTGTCACTCTCAGAGGCTCTAATATTGTTTTAGATATAAGAAATGATCAAGAGTCAAAGTATTTATTTAGCTGACTGAAGTAGTTTATTGACATAAAAATGTGAGCTTTAACTGAACTGCTGATGTGAACGCTTTCTGTCTGACACTTCATTTGGCAAAAATTAGAGGAATCATAATTTAGTTCAAACTGATTTAAAATTGGAGTTAAAATTAGCACACAAGTTCAAATGAAACTTAATACAACTCAGTTTAGTTTTAATGTTGGGTCTAATGATGACAGTTATGTAATTGATGATGATTATAATGACGTACTGCAGGTTTTCTCTCAGGCTCCTCACTTGATGTATAATGTTTTAGCTAGGTTCACATCTGTGACATGGACACATCTAAAACACATCAACATAAATATCAAGTTGAACTGTGAAACAGGAAGCCGTGATATTTTATGAACCTCTTCAAACCAACCTGTCTCCTCAGATTTCCCCTTAAGGAGCTTGGTCTCCTACCACACAACTGCTAGTGAGTTGAAACACCAACTGGGGATGAATTTAATAAATAACATTGTTTTGAATATAACAATATAAAATAACTAAAACGCGTAATATTTCAAAACTTGTGTGTGTGTGTTTTAGTGTGCACTTGTGTGTGTGGGGTGCATAGTCACCCTCCTGGAAAATGTCTGGACTGAAAGGCCAGATGCCTGTACATCTAAAACCAGGTTGTACGTTGCTTGGCGTAGTAGCATTGGCGAATGCTGTCCTGACCAGGTGTCTGATGTCATATATTGTCATTTTATTTGCAGGAGAAAAAAGGTGAAAAGTACAAAAAAACATACTGAGTCATCATAAGGGCTTTACAACCATCCCCACAACATCCAGCCATTGGACAAATATTGGGTATGGCAAGCACAACAATTTGGAATGTCCTGAAAACAAAAGAAACTACTGGTGTACTGAGCAACAGACGTCGAACAGGTCGGCCAAGGAAAACAACAGTAGTTGATGACAGAAATATTGTGAGAGCTGTGAAGAAAACCCCCAAAACATCAGTAAGTGACATCATCAAGGACCTCCACAGTGCAGGGTGAAGGTATCATAATCCACTGTTGGAAGAAGACTCAGAGCAGAAATCTAGAGGCCACACCACAAGATGCAAACCACTCATCAGCAGGAAGAATCGGAAGGCCAGATTGAAATTTGCAAAGAAGTACAGAGATGAGCTTCAAAAGTTCAGTAACACAATCTTATGGACTGATGAGACCAAGCTCTCTACCAAGAATTCCTTGACAAAGTTGTCAGCCCTGTTAAACTGCTAAGCAAGCTAGCTAACTCCACACATGGCTGTTGGCTCCACTGTCTCAACCAAATATGGTCACTTCTGGGCACTTCCTGGTTGCAAAAACTTAACATGGCGGCGCCCTATTGGCCAAACTCGAGGCTTCAAAACGGCAGTCCACAAACCAACGGGTGACGTCACCATGACTATGTCCACTTCTTATATACAGTCTATAAGAGAGAGCCAATCAGATCAGCCAGAAGCTTGTTGTGACCATGTGTTAGAGTTTATGTGAAGACGATTGTTGTTGTTGTGTTCATGTCTACAGGAAATAAAGCTGGATTACAGCTGACAGCGTCACAAGATGTATAGAGACAGTGGTCCTCATTCATCAAGTGTCGTACCATCAAATCTGATCTCTGAAGTGTTTGTTCTCTCATTTCAACACTAAGCTATTGCACTGCAAAAAAGGCAACTAGGACTATTAGCACAACATCTCAATTTAGGTATATTATAAACTTCAAAAACAGACCTTTTAGAAACAAGCCAGATATTCTCACAGTAGCCCAAAAAAAAGTAGCCCAAAACGGACAAACTGTACTACAGAGCGCGTTTCATCTCCTTCTTCTTGTAGAATTTTGGTGGAGTAAATACAAAGGCTCTGAGGCAAATAAATTTGGACGATTCGCAACCTAAACACTAGATGCCACTAAATCTTAGACACTTAACCTTTATATATTAAAAAATGTTCTTGCGTGGAGCAAAATGGGGTAAACCAAATTGCTTCATTGCTTCATCCAGCAGAGGAATCACAACAGTGCTGCAGTCTGAACTGTTCTGAGATCAGCTCCACTCAGCTGTCAGACACAAGGTCAAGTCCACCATCATCCCTGTGTGTTCCTCAGGATGTGACAGAGTATCATCAGTGAATCTGGACCTCTCTGCTGCTGCTCTGTCCTTTTACACATTCTCTGCTCCACCTCCTCCACCTGGACCTGGAAATGGACTTTATTTCATTCAGATGTTCTGAACCCAAAGTGCCTCTGCAGATTAGTTCTGTTTATGACAACATAATGGCAAATTAACACATTTGAATGGATTCTTCTGTTTTGTTTCCTTTTCTGTTGCAGCTCCACCTTGTGGATTGGTGGAGAATTGCAGTAAATTTCCACATTAAAATTCTAACGCAGGGTGGCACGGAGGTCGTGGGTTCAAACCCCAGTTGCCCTGGCCTTTTTTTGTGGAGTTTGCATGTTCTCCCCGTGTCTGAGTGGGTTCTCTCCGGCTTCCTCCCACCATCAAAAGACATGCAGACTAGGTTAATAGGTGACTCTAAATTGCCCTTAGGCGTGAATGTGAGTGTGAGTGAGTGAGTGAGTGTGAGTGGTTGTCTGTATATGTGTGGCCCTGTGATGGACTGGCGACCTGTCCAGGGTGTACCCCGCCTTTCGCCCAATGTAAGCTGGGATTGGCTCCAGCTCCCCCGTGACCCTATAAGCGGTTGACGATGGATGGATGGATGGACTTCTAACACATTTTGGAAGTTGATGTGAAAAAGCAGCATCCAGCCTGCAGGCATAATGTTACTTCTCTGAAGTTCTGCTTATTAATACCAATACCAAACTCTTCTCACAGTTTAATAGATGACTTTAATAGATGAACACACAGAAACATGAAGATAAAACCTGTAGAAAGTTTGGATTTAATCAAAGCTTCTTGACGTCTACAAACTGAAACATGATTCTGATTCCAGTCTGAAGTCTTGTTGTTATTAGTGTAGGATTAAATATCTGTTTACTTTTTGAAATGCCAGTGCTCTCTTTTGGTCCTTTGGTCAGATACTGAACACCAGAACATATTAATAACTTCTGATGTATCCTTTTTCCTTTTGATTTTAAATTAATCAGCAAAAAGTAATATATAAGTTCTAATTATAAACTTTAGTGTATTAGTGATTAAGATTACGTACATGTATATATTTGTTCTGTTTTCTCATTTCAGTTTACATTGTTGCAGAAAAAAACAAATCCCGTTATTCAAATCCCATCTTACTTCTCATGTGATGTAAATTTCCACAATCCAGCTCCTATAAATATAAATGTGCTGCATGTTGGTGTAAATAAAGCCCATTTGTTGAATTACTTCTCTGGATATCCAGAGTTTTCTTTGTGACTGAAGAAGATTCAAGTGTTTCTCATTTCCAGCAGCTGTTCAACTCACCTGAGGCTTTATAATTCTTCTGTGCAGTCTTAGAAAGCAGCAGAGTCCATGAATGAGTCTATGTGATCTTAGTGACTTTGAGCGTGAAATGATTGTTGGTGGTTTTGACGAGCTCAGAGCTGCTGAACTCCTTATTTTAAATAGAATCAATCAATAACAGTGGAAGTTGAAGTTGTGCTCATTACCACCAATAACACAATGTCATATTATAAAAGATCAATATTTACTTGACTGAACAGAACGACGGAGATAAAACCTGAAATGTCTTTGTTAAACATGTTCTACCTTTTTGTGATTTCGCCTGTATTGAAATGGAAAGGGATCAAAATACACTCGTTAAAAGTAGAGAGATGGGAAGAAGGGGGATTAGACAGAGGAGGTGAGCAGTGGATTAGGACCACACGACGGACCCCTGAGCAACTGGTTCCGGCCACAAGGACCTTGGATAGATTGATTCATTATTATACATTTAACCACCCAAACTACAACAAATAGTTCAACAATAAGAATATAGGCATAATAGAGTATAATTAGCCTATTAGACAAAGGATTATGATCTCTGACATTTATTCACTAACCGCATTGGCAACACGGCCAGAGAAGGACAAAGGTGGATTAGGACCACAAAGACCAGTTCATGGACCATTTACTTCAGTGCCCCTAGTGGTAGCGACCAGTGGTGAGTGGACTGACCACTGAATGGCGACAACCCCGATTCCTGTTCTGTTTTGGACTGCAACTAATGATTATTTTCATTCTGGATTAATCTGATGATTATTTATTGTGTCCAAAGTGACGGAGATTCAGTCCAGCCGGTGTGCTGTGATCCAGTTTACAGTCAGTGTGTGTTTTGGTGATAGCCTTTACATTGCCATTTGTATAATTTCCAGTACATTTAAAAAACTTTGTGTCCAAGCCCACAGTGTAAGTTAGTGATTCAAAGTTCAGTCTGTCAACCGATTTATTCATCCAGTTTTAACTTAGTTATGCAACTACTTGCTTATAAATAAGATGTTGCAATCAAAAACAAACTTAACAAACAAATTTGTGGACCTTGACTATGGGCTGGCCTTCTACAAAGCCCTTAATGGTCAGGCACCATCTTATTTGAAAGAACTCCATACTGCCCCACCACACTGCACTCCCAAAATGCAAGATGCTACTTGTAGTGTCTTAGGGTCTCTAGATGTAGGATGGGAGCCAGAGCCTTTAGTCATCAGGCACCTTGGCTGTGGAATCAGACCCCTGTTTGGGTTCGGAAGGCAACCAATATTTCCATATTTAAGAGTAGGCTAAAACTGTTCTTTTCGGTAAAGCTTTTAGTTAGGGATTTTTTGGTCCC